CTGGCCAACGGCCGCGGCGCGCGCGGCGCCGATGGCGAAGACGAGCGGGACTTGCAGCAGAGCGAGGGCCTCCCGCGCCCTCGCGCCTTCTCCCCGTCCTCTGGCCTCCCCCTCCTCCTCCTCCTCCTCCTCCTCCTCCTCCCTCCTCCTCCTCCTCCTCCTCCGTAGCCATTTTGGCTCAAGCCATTTTGGCTCAAGACTTCTGCACTTGGGGGCTCCGCGCCTTCGTGCCAAAACGGGATAGCTCTGTTCCCCGAGCGCGCTTTCATCGATTCGCCTGGTCCGCCCCAGGCAGAGTGCTGCGCGGTCCGCCCCGCGTAATTAGCAAAACTTCTTGTGAGCTCCTACAAGAGCAAGTGCAATCACGAGGCCGCTCTCGTCACGAGAGCGGCCTCAAAATAATCAGCGCGCGAATCAGCTTTCTTCAACGCGCGATAATTGGAGACCAGTCAAAAAAATCCACGCAGTCTTTCACCCTTAGGAGAGGAGGGCCCGAGCTCTCGTGGGTCCTCCTGGGCGCGAGCAGCCTCGGCCAGGCAGGATGGCTTCCAAGAAGCCCCCGAGTGGGCACACCCAGCATCGGGTGGCATGGGCGCAGCCCTGGTACTGTCGCTTCTGCTGGGCGCCGTCCGGTGATCGCTGGTGGAACGCCGCTGTCCTGCTGGCCTGCAAGAAGTGCCAGCGCTCCAAGGGCCAATGCTTCCACTCCCAGCGGACGCCCAAGTCGCCATCCGTCTCCGCCAAGGACCAGGCAGCTTCTGCCGAGGAGCGCAAGCTCCAGCAGGAGCTCAAGCAGGCGCACGCCGAGCGGGACAAAGCCAGGTCGGAGGCAAAGGAGGCGAAGGCAGCGGCTGCCAAGCCCGACCCGTTCGGCATGGAGGTCGACGTCGTGCAGCTGGAGGCCGAGATCGAGTCGTCATGGGTCAAGGAGCTGCGTGGCTTGCTCAGCCAGTTCAAGGGTGCCAGCGACTCCTCGGGCCAGGTGGCGAAGATGCGCCAGGACTGGGCGGCCGAGCTCGAGCAGCTGCGGTTCAAGCAGATGGGCCAGAAGCCGCTTCCTGTCCAGATCCAGCAGCTCACGTAGCAGATCAAAGGGCTTGAGCGCAAGGCAGATGCCAAGCGCGAGGCCATGGCCAAGCTCCAGGACCAGGCGCGCGCCGCCCAGGCGCAGTTTGACGAGGTGGCGTCGGAGGCCGCCTCCATCCAGAAGGAGATTGCGGTGCTGGGGGCCCAGCGCGCGGAGGTGGCGGTGCAGTTCCCGCAACCTGCGACTGTCGTTGACGGCGTCAAGGCCTCGCTCGACTCCGCGCTGCCGAGTGTCGGGCTTTCTGCGGCACAGATGGTCGAGGTGCTTGGGACCTTCGGGGCCGACGCGCAGCTGGCCCAGGAGCTGCACAGCGCGGCTGGGCGCGCGCGCGAGGCTGCGGTGCGAGCGCAGGCTGAGCGGCAGGCGGAGCTGGAGCGGCAGCGTGCGCAGGCAGCTATGGCGCCAGGTGCGCCTGCGCCAGCGGCGACGCCGGGCGCCCCTCCGCCGGTGGCGGTGCCTGCGGCCGTACAGCCGCCTGCTGCTGCTGGGGTCCTTCGCATCCCTGTGGCCTCTGGCGTTGGGGCTGACACTCCTGAGGTGCTTCAGGCCTCTCTGGGGGCAATGGGGCAGGAGGTGCCGACCGACGAGGCCGATCTTCGCGAGACGGCCAAGCGCTTCACCGAGGAGCTCGAGAGCCTTGCCAAGCGCCAGCGCCTTCAGGGGCCAGGCGCGGAGGCCTCTGCGTAGACCTGCCATCGGCCTCGTCATCATGATGATGTCTGCTGTGGATGTGGTCTCCGCCGTCGACCTCGTGGGCGGCAATGTTGTTTCTGCGCCGAGCCCGGCGTTGCCTCCAGGCACGTGGGCACGGCGTCACGGCGGGCCCCCAGACCGCGACGCCGTGACGCCCGGCGTGACGCCGCGACGCGTGGCACGGCCGCGCCTGGCCCCGCGGCGCACGATCCTGATGGTTTGGCTGGCTGCCTGATCCCAGGGAGGGCCACGGCAGGGCACTTGCTCTGGGGCGTGGCAGGTGGGATCGCGATGGTCTCTGTCTACCTGCATGACAGTACCGGCCTGGACGTCTCCAACCTGGAGATCTTGAGGGCGGTGGGCCACTACGTGCTGGACATCGCCAGCCGTGGATTCGCCTGGATCCTCGGAGGCGATTTCAACATGGCCCCGGAGCTGCTGGCCCCGTGGTTCAACTCTGTGGGGGCGGTTCTGCTGTCAACGGCGGCGACTACATGCCGTCAGAAGTTGCCTGGCACCAAGCTGGACTACTTCGGGGTGGACGGCCGCCTTCTGAGTCGCATCCAAGTGCCCGAGGTCTACGAGGCAGCGAACACCTTCCCTCACAAGCCTGCGCAGCTACCGCTCATGGCTAGTGACAAGGCGCTCTGGTGCAGGGTGCCCTCGGAACCGAAGGCCTTTGCAGCGATGGCGCCACCTGGCTGCTCCAGGCCACCAGCGTCGCTCTGGCACGCGGTCCAGGAGCAGATTGGAGCTGCGGCAAGCGATGCGGAGCTCAGCCAGTGCTGGGACGACGTACTGCAAGGCATTGAGCAGGAGCTGCGTGGCCGTTGCGAACTCGTTGGCCAAGGCTGCCAGGCGCAGACGGGCAGGGCAGGCCCGCTCCGCATGCGCTGGCAGAAGTATGCCTGGCAGCCGCCGCGGCATCGCCCCCCTGATCGGGGAACTGCGACTGACGCATGGGCTGTGGCTGCTGGCTGGGCGCGACACCTGCGGCGAGTCAGCGAGAGCCTCAGCAATCGCGTCCCGCAGCTCATGGTGGCGAGGGCTGCGGGAGGGCCGTCGGTGGCGGAGACCTCCAAGCTCGGCGTCCTCCTTCACGACACGGAGGCTCCAGTGCGTGGCGGAGTTCTTTGAGCAGAGTATGATGGTGCTCGCCGACGCCAACATCCATGACATGGTCGACTGGCTCATTCATCAAGGTGAGTCGAGGCTTGCAGCTTTCGCGGCTGAGCGAGCCAAGTCTTGGACGAAGTGGGTCGAGGCCAGCTTCGTTAGAGGCGCGTCGCAAGCTCACCGCTTCAGCATGGCCCGCGCCCTGCAGCCTGCAGACGCGGCCCGGACAGGAAGCCAGCCATATGAGCTAGTTGACGACTGCCTGGATGACTGGGCCACGGTCTGGGCGACCCACGGCTGCGTGAGGATGGAGCTACCGCCCGAGGAGGAGTCGTGGGAGCCTCTGCCGACGATTTCGCATGTTGAGGTCCGCGCTGCTGTGCGCAAGTTTCCTGCCAGGACGGCCAGTGGTCCTGGGCGCCTGGCCCCATGCAGTCTGTGGCACCTGAACGACCAAGCGCTGCAGACGGTGGCGCTCCTCTTCATGTTGTGCGAAAAGCTCTGCTGCTGGCCGCGAGGAAGGGTGGCCACGGAGCTGGTGAGGCTGCCGAAGCCAGACAAGCCTGGTGAACACAGGCTGATAGCTCTCATGCATACTTTAATTAGGGTGCGGGGGAGGGTTCGGAGGCCTGTTTCGGTGGAGTGGGAGGGGAGGCATCGCAGTGAGCTCCTGTGGGGCTCCGGTCCAGGGCGTTCCAGTCTCGATTGTGTTTTTGCTCACAATTTGGAGGCTGAGGTCGCTCGTAACACTGGCCAGCATTGTTTGACAGTTTTGATTGACATGATTAAATGTTATGAGCTTGTCTTGCTTAGTGCTGTGATAACCGAGGCTGCTGCTGTTGGATTTCCCTTGCGGTTAGCGTGGATGTTGGTGTGTAATTATCAGCAGCCTCGGCGCATCAAAGGATTTAATTCCCTTAGCCGTTCCTACACGTCTTTCCAGGGGATTTTGGCGGGCTGCTCGCACGTCACCACCCTCACGCAGGTCCTCCTCCTTCGGCCTCTCCACAGGCTTAAGAGGGAACTCGAGCTTGTGGTTCCCCGAGGCCTCATGGATGATGTGTCGTTTCAGTGGATAGGACGCCTGGCCAAGTACGCTGGGGTCGTTTTTTATGCGGTCACGGCTTCTGCCAGCTATACCCGCCAGCTAGGTTTTCTGATGCAGGCCTCTAAGTCTGGTTATCTTGCGTCTTCGACGGCAGCAGCTCGTGCTGTGAAGTCGAGAGCGGCCAGGCTGAAGCTCCAGGCATTTCGGGCGGCGCGAAATCTTGGCCACGACACCTTTGCTGGAGGCACCGCCCACAGAGCCCTTGAGAGGAAGAGGTTGGGGGCTGTGCTTGGGAGGCGGGGCCGGCTTCGCGCCCTTAAGAGGGCTGGGGGTCTGCAGGTCAGGGTTCTGTGGCGCACGGGGGTTTTGCCGTCGGGTAGCCATGAGGCTGGTGTAATAGGCCTCACTGATTCCACTCCCATGAAACTCCGTTTTTT